TAATAATAATAATAATAATAATAAAACAAAGTAACCAGAATGATCTAATCTCGTATTATTACTCAATAAATAATATTAATTAATTTTTTGACACGACTTTTATGAATTTAGACATAATAAAAAATAGTGTTGACTTGAATGAATCATATGATCCTTGTCAATTCCTTCATGAACACAAATTGGTGTCATGATATGAGATTACACGTTAGAAAGCACTGTTATAATTTGGGTAGCCTGCCATAATGATTCCAGCCCAAGCCCAAGCCCAAGCCCAAGCCCGCTATCTTTTACCTCCTCAAAAAATCAAATACCTATTGGCATCAGCATTAATCATTGAAGTTGAGATAAATCTATATATATATAATTACTAGCTAATCCTATTTAATAAAATATTTAATAAAAACATTTCACTTTCCCTCCAAAAGGAGTTATAATTTTTTTAATTAATTACTCATTATTCCCACATTTAAGAAGGTTTCTTTTAGTTATAAATTGAATAAGCAATTAAAGTTATAAAAAATATTAATAAATGTAATAAATACAAACATTATAATACAAATCATGTTAAATTACAATAAAAATAAAATTATTTTTTTTGTAATTTAATTTCCAGCCATACTCCATCAAACATATAGCTGCAAAATGATAAGAAAGATTAGTTTCATAATTAAAATAAAATTTAGCTCCCCCAAATGGTAAAATCTTATAAAGTAGTAGTATATATACATTTAAATGAATAATTTATAAAGTTAGACTATACGCATAATAAGATGAATTAAAAAAAAAAGTTATGAAGTAAATAAATAAATTAACAATCTATATATTTATTATAGCAAAGTCTATATTGTCAATATTATCATTTAAAAGTTCATTGAAAAACATATGTATAAAAAAAAGTCATATGATCATAATTAATATTGCAAAATTGACTATCTTCGACTTACCATTTGGTAGTAATAATAAAATATTTTATATTACTACTATTCAATAAAATGCATGATTTCTGCAAATTTGATTATCGCAATCAACATTCTGTTTTATAAATTAAAAAGTGTGTTGAAGAAATTGTCCCACATTTTTCATTAAAAAAAACTGTTGGTCGTGAAAAAAAAAATATTATTTCACAATTATAAATATAAATATGATTAATTTTCATTAAACAATTCCTCTTTTAAAAAAAAGTGACGGTACAAATTTATGCATGATTATAGCATCAAAACATATCCAAAACATCAATATTTTAAGGCATTAAAACCATACTTTCAGCAACAGAAAAGTCATATTAAATGGAAATTGACAAAGTAAAAGAATGAGGATTGACAAGGCATATGTAATGGCAGATTGTTGTATAATATAGAAATATCAAGCATAATTAATAATCAACAAAAAAAAGTAAAATCTATATGAAAAAAATCAAAATTAAAAACACAACAAATTATGTGGAACATTATTGGATACTATACAATATAAAAAGAAAAAATAATTTGATCTCCCTATTATTATCAACACATTCAACTTCTACCAAGACATCTGCCTTTATATTAAAATCGAATTTTTGCGTAAAAGTTTTAAAAATAAAAATTCCTACAGATTTTTTTAAACATTAAACAAGAAATTCCTCATATGCGAGAAATATATGTAAACAGATTTGTTATAAACTTACCTAATATTTTCAAATTTTGAACAAAATACTAAAAACTATGAAAAACTTCGGCAAAAGACTTTGAACAACTTCGAAAAGCGATTTTGAACAAGTGTTAGCAAAACTTCACTTACTGTTATGATGAGAAAGACGAGAAAGAATTGAACTATTTACTGTTCAAAATCCGAACAAAATACATAAAAGTTACATATGTATGTTATAAACATATATGAACATATATGTTATAAACTTACCTATATATTTGTTAGTAGAGCTGGACAGATTTGTTAGAAACTTACCTATTTTTCAAACCCTGAACAAAATACATAAAAGTTTAAAAATGTTCGACCAATGTCATGTTCTCTTCGAAATGATTTCGAAAAACATCAAGATAATATCGAATTATGTATAAAATATGATATATCTTTGAAGCTTATTCAAAAAGAATTTCGAAAAACGACACAGATCATTGAAAATAATAAAAAATAAAACTTATTTTTAACAAAAAATATTTCAGCTCTTCATAGATTTGTAATATTATCGCCCGATTTTGACCGACCTGTTAAGATTTAGCAAGAGCAAGACAGATTAAGAAATCAGGACGAATATTTATTTTTCGATCACTACTGTTGGCCACAAAAACGACATTTCTCGGATTTTTTTTTTTATTTTTTTAAGTCTTTACTGGGAGAAAATCTCCGGTAAAATATTTTTTTTGTATTGAATCTCCCCGAGTTTGTCGTAAGATCGGGTTAAGGATTAGGGTTTCAGACATAGTGAATAACGAAAGAAGCGCCGACATCAAACAACAGAATTAGCTTACATCACTCAAGGAGATTATTTTAATTTATAGTCATGTTATCATTGACCTATTTTATATTTGATTGGCTACTCTAAAAAATTAAGTGGACTTCTAATTTGGGCTTTTTTTTATCATTCAATCCCACAAAAATTGTCATTTTGTTCAAATGTCTTAAATATTTGGCACATATCATTATTTATCAACTAAATACAATTATTTATTTTGTAATATTTTGCTGGTATTTTTATAGTATTTGTTTTTTTAAAATTTCCTATATGATCTATAGTACCAAATACAATAATTATTTTAAAAAATAAAACCATTATATGTCTTAATTTGAAGATAGTGATTTGTAGTGATGGAGAGATTCTATTGATAAAAAATCACAAACGTTGTATATAAAAAATTATTTAACAATATTTAGTTATTCTTTTTTAAAAACATTTTTACAATGATTATATTATGAT